AATTTTATCACTGCACATTTTACATTTTATCACTGCACATTTTACTTTTATCACTGCACAAATTGGTTATCACTGCACACTAAAATTAGGTATGATCCTATCATTTACGCTGGAGAAACGTTCAGTCGCCTTATTCTTAACCCTTGCTCTCGTATTTACCTTCGCGTCGGCTGGTCAAGTTTCGCACTGTATCTATGGAACTACAGTAAAAGATCTGCTCAAGTTAGCCGGGATTGGCGGAGCAGACTTGCTGTCCTATGTTGCAAAACTGAAAGCCCACAACATAGATCAATCTGTGCTTGCCAGTCTTACATTACAACAACTTCATGACATCGGTATTATAGCGCTAGGAGACCGTATCAAGATTCACAATTTCTTCTCAAAAGACCCCAACGATTGCTCCAGTTCACGCTGCCAAAACAACGGCATTTGTCGGGATGGTTTTCGCTGCTTTTCGTGCATTTGCGATCCTAAGAACGGATATTACGGCGCGAGTTGTGAGCTCAAGTGCCCTTGCCATAACAGTGGTATTTGTAAGACAGTACCAACTGGCTTCAAATGCGTCTGCCCGCCAGGATACTCGGGTGATTTATGTAAAACCAAGTATTTAACTGAAGAGAGAGTGGTGAAACTTGAGGAAACATTGAAACAGGTAAATTAAAATGTGTTTGGGCTCGCAAACTAGCAAATTAGTACTATAGTATACCATATTTAACGACAAGCGGGCTTCAGATAGGTAGCGTCATTTTGTTCAGTCGTTTCCTATTTTAAAACGCACGAGTGGCCTTTCGCGAAGTTTTTGTTCAGAAATTAACAGGATGAATGACTTCGGTAATTTGCAAAAAAATACGTGCTATTGCATTTTATATGGCTATATAAAAGTCTACAGTTATCAAGTGTAACTTTATGTAAAAGAAAAGGAATTTCTTCCACAGCAAACTGGCATTTACAGTTCGGTCAGTGCTTACACGGTGCGCACCATTGGTGCGCACCGCCGCCACTGATCTAATAGTAGACTGGATATAGCTTCTCCAGGTGTGAAAAGTGAAGCCAAATTATATATGCGAAAATCACTTCCGGGGACCACGGAGTGATACAAATTACTATAGAAATGTATGGCGAACAACGTGA